AAAAATGCGGTGCAACTCATCCACACGACATTTCTTCTCGATGCAAGTCACCGGCATGTGGAACAGTCTCCCTGATAACATCGTTGGCGCTGAGTATGAACGCGTTCAAGAACAGACTAGATACACTGATGAAGCTATGCAGAAAGTCTTGGGAGGTCTAGTACCTTCCGGACGCGGTAATAGGTTCAGTAGCTATCTCAAACCAACGTCAGTTTTGAAAAGATCTGTTATAAAGGCAGGTTTTAGATCTCTTTTGAACAAGTCACGAAAATAACAAGAATAGGCAACAGTAGGGAGGGGCTATTCAGCGCCGACATTTCTATTCTATAACGAGTCAGAAGAAATGAAGAAGTGAAAGATTAGAGTGAACCAGCCTACATGGACTGAAACGGAGCTAAATATAACATGGAAAGTGTACCTGATATTATGCATGCGACAATATATTCAACTATCTCAATAGAAATTAATGAATCTTTCTAAATCAGATTTCCATCGTTCCAGGTTCATCATGCTGGGTGATAACATCGAAGTATACGAGAAAGTCCGCTCCGAATTGACTCTATGGCCCCCGGAATTCTCAACCCGAACTTCACTAGAATTCAGACCAATATACGTTCCGTCTGACTCCTCAATCCTGGAAGTGCACGATAAATGTTCGACTGAGCGACTGTACCTGCCGCGAGTGTTGCCAGACGTCGATGCTGCCGTCTACCTCGACACTGATATGATATTCCTCCGCGCGCCAGAACTACTTGCCCTGCAGTTTCAGCTGTTCGACCAAACACATGTTTTTGGGATGACGCCTTTGGAAGACCACTATACGTTTGCTTCCATTAGGGTGAGATGGAATCTGACCAACGCGTAAAATGGCTTGAGTTCTCAGACCTGCTAAAATGAAAACTATGGCATCAGAGCAGATTTCAAGAGGAGATGTTAGCCCTTTACCAGGTCTTCACATTGTCATTAAGAAGGGTTGTTACATTAAAGATTGTGATAGTTCGTTTGAAGTCTGAAATGTTTTGCGGTTGATCATCGCACATCTCATTTAGGTGCTTTTATCTTCGGTTAGAACAATAGTATGTAAGTTACATAACCATCTTAAATTATAGTTGCCAACTATTGTTCCGCTAAGAAACTGCAAAATTTTTTTATTAACGGCGATTCTATCTAATTATCTCCACAAATATCTAATGACGCATTCAGACAAGCAGGAACACTAATCCAAGAAATGTGATATATTTTCTACGAAATTTTCGCGCATTTTGCAAATCAAATTCCATTCGACCGTCAACATCGTCAACAAACTCTCGTACACCGTAGGTCAGTGTTTACTGAAGCAGACAGGCAGATTCATATACAATAGCGGTTTCAGCGTTTACATAGTAGGCCGTAGGCCTGTCGCCGATTCTTAACATCGCAGAACATCCACAGCTTGTTGCGGTCTCGACTCGCAACTCACTGCCACAAATTCTGCTGTGCTTAACCGCCCGGCCTCCTGGTCGATTACAATCTCATCTACATTATAAGATTATATCTTATTTACATTCCTATCTCAGTGACTTCACCTACGCCCGTTAGGTGCCGTTCGCGGGCAAGGGCTTCAGTGGCGCTCCGTTGCTCGTGAACTTGACTCGCTGGAGGCTCAGGCCATTTGAGGAGCAGACACTGGAGGACATCATGATGGCCTTCAAGGACCGTCTAAAGACGGGGGACCAGGATGTGCTCAACATGATACTCATTGATGTAGGGGACTGGCTAAGCATAAAATTAACTGTTTTGTAGGAGGTTGTGAACGCATTGGTGTTTATGTTTACTTAATCTTTCAAACTCCCTCAGCCTCTGATTTCTGCTGTATAAATTGTATGGGCCTATGTAAACTCTTTGTAATTTCATTTACAAGGCCTTAAGATACGAATAACATAGACGACGTTTAATGAATCTCTAGACAAAGATCAATTCACGTACGTTTATTACTCTAATTATTAGTTGTTACTTTGAGTACCGACACCACTTACAGAAGCCGCAGCTGGTTCAACAACTCGGATGTGAGTGGAACGGCCATCTGGAGCTATGTACCGAATCCTAATTTCAGTGCCCGTGTGCGCGGAGCGCGGGGTTCTCCATCTTACACGGCGTCAGAGGACGCTTTTTGAGCGACTTCTACTTCAATTACAACGCCTACAGCAGGGTTAGTCAGTTACATATTTAAATTACAACGCTTGCAACAGGTATAGTCAGTTACACACTGAAACAACAATGCCCACGACAGGGTTAGAAAACTAACGACCCTGTCAAAATTTTCGTGCCGATTAAGGTCGTTTTAGAGGAACTATATTCGGCTTAGGGGTGAATCAGGAGCACCCTGTCAAAATTTTCGTGCCGATTAAGGTCGTTTTAGAGGAACTATATTCGGCTTAGGGGTGAATCAGGAGCAAGTCGGCCACGTAGGGTGTTTTGCTTCTATTTACCAGCTTCTTTTGGAAACATAAGGGGGGGGGGAAGGGAGGGGGCATTTTTTTAAGCATTTTTCATATTCGGCCGTGTCTGTCCCGAACGTATCAGGTACCAAATACGCGCGCCCCACGATCGCCTAAGCTCGACGAGTAATTTCACAAGATTCCATTTCGGCGCTTATTTCGCTACGGCAACCGGAACCTAATGCGGACATAGAGCTTCTAATTTACCCGGCCATAAGAACCTGGGGCGTCCGTGTGCCAGCGGCTGACAGGTCTTCGAATTCGATAGGGGAGGCCTTAGCGGTTGGTACCAATGGAAGTTTGAATGAAACAACTGAATATTAAGCATGCGAATGTGAACACTTATTTACTGGTAAATGAATGTAGCTGCAGTAACAGGTCTGATACATGTCGGTGTCACCTGCTTGTGTTCCGTGCCCTTGAGGAGCACGTCTTGGGAACCCCTGCAGCCACCCTCGCGTCCGACCTGCTAGCGTCGATGACGAAGGCCGACTTGGAACGCAGGGGTGACGATGATGTGCCATCTGGACGAGTCCAGTTCTGCATCTGCATGCTGGAGTCCTTGTTTAGGCCATTCCTTGATGGAAGGTCCAGTGAGGAGTTTGCGGAACGGATCGAAATATACTGCGGTTCTAAATCGAAGTCAGTGTGATCCGCAGATGTATGTTAAAGCCAGGAATAAAAATCATATCTGCAACCCTGTCGGTTGTTTAAAGCCTGGTACAAACCATGATACAATTCGACCGCGATTTTCGGTCAGTTCAATTCTACCCATGAGTTTTCTGTGTCAAATTCCAAAATAATATAATATAATGTTTCCTGCGTGTTCTTAGTGTTTGATGTAAATCTCAGAGCAAATAAAAGTGACGAGATGCAGCCCGATACATAGAAACTATGTGAAACTTTCCTCGATCAGGCTTCTATTGCTAGGTTATCGCTCCGATAATAATATAAAGTTCGCTTCAATTTACTATTAAATTTTTGAGGGAGTCATTGAATGTCGTCCCTTATGGAATTTACGTATATTTTTTATTATTTTAGGAAACTTAAATTTTTTAAGTCTCCTACAAACATAAATTCTTTTACACGCAGACATCATCGAAGGCAGGGTCATATGGATTAAAAATCATAAAGAACTTTAAATTCAGTTAACTAGCTTGAAGCTAATCACGAATGAATAACCGTTAGCTATTTTGAAACGCGCAGGCTCTTTCGTGATTATTAGTTGCGTTTAGCAAGTATTCTTAACTGGCAGAGTAACTCTGACATTCCTCATTCACATTCACTCTCTAACATATATTTTGAAGTACGTATTATAGATTCTTAAACATGCATAGGTTTAGTTATCTTATTTACAGTAAGTATAGGACGATTGCACCCAGCTTTCAGCTTCTGTCGATTACTGTTTGTAGATTACATATACGTAGGCCCTGCATTTCAGATAACGTGTAGCCTCATTGGAATAAACTTCATATGACAAAATTACAAGGACACTACAAATTTAACAATTTCACGGGCATGCATAGAAACAGGCAGAAATTTAAAGTTCAGGTGCCACTACTATAAAGTAGGTACCGATAATTCTAAGATAAATTTACTCATGTGGATTTTTCAAAATTTTGGATTTAGTCGTAGATGAAAATTCTATGAAGAAGTGGTCACTACGCTAAACGAAATTGAAATTTTTTTAATTTATTAATCAAAATCCAAAGGCAAACTATCAAGCTGCAATTAAAATTTATTATTTAACCTACTTCAAATTCAGAACGGCGTCAATTTCATTGTCAGAGTGAAAACTTTCATGCAAATGCTCATATTATAATACCGGATATATCAGAGGGTAAATATATGCATGTATAATGGATGATCAGATGATTGGTGACTGGCAGAGGCATGATAATGAAGCCTCAAACACAAAACCGGGGTACGAGCAGTGAGCGTTATTGGAAGTAAATTTTATTTGACCATATTTGACCGCTGAAGGAAGGGTTAAAGAGGATTTGCAGTGTCTGACAACTCCTTGCAGTATTCTCTCAACGCCTATATCAAACTCCAAAAGAGTCGCTCTTGATGAGCAGTCATCCAGTAGATGACTACTCGAGTTTAAAATTCGGAGTTCATTATTTAAGAAGTCCAAAAGGTGAATAAGAAGAACTAGTCCTGCTAACCATCGCCTGCCACGCTTATACCATGGGGCCGTCGATGTCACGCAAATCAAATACGCGACGACGGTCTAAGGCTCTAAGCTAAATAAAATCAGCCTAATCTTAAGACACTGTGAGATGATAACTCTTGAAGTTTGCAGGTGAAGTTTTATGCGCAAACAAAATTTAACAGCTCAAAATATTGGAATTGGATGTAAAATATATAATATATAAATGTAAAATTGAATATCCAATTGGAAAATTTTGATAAATTTTATTATTGTTAACAAGTATTTTTTGAGAGATATCTTATCTAAATAATAAGAAGTTATTTGTGTCATTATCAGTCAATTAAAGCGGTAAAAATCAAAGTCATGAATACTGAGAAAAATTATATTTCAAGGTACCCTAAACTTTTATCTGGATAATTTTATTCCAATTACTTATAAATTTGAACGTGAATAAATAGGCTAAACATCTAAAGGCGTAGATTTGATATGGAAATTATTGGCGCACAATAATAGCGCAGGCAACGGGTTTGGCCGCGGCGACTGACGCTGCAGGCGGCACATCAGGCGTGGAGGTCGTTGTTGCGTTGGGTTTATTGGAAGACGCATCGGCGGGCGCCGTAACTGACGACTCGTCAGGCACGGCGACAAGGGCGATACTGCGGCCCAGTATGCTGTGGTCGCCGCTCAGTGAGATTCCTGCACGACTCAGAATAGTGGATGCCAGTCCTTTGTCGTCCACCACCAGCCGACCCAGCACTCCGAGGTCGGTTATCTGTGAGACCAGCATATAAATCAGAATTCAACACCAGCACACAGGCTCTGTATCTGTTCGAGTAACTCTCGATACACACCAGCGCTGAACCACACATTACACAACAGAACTGGACCGCTTTTAAGAACGCATGTATACAAGAAGGCACCACTCACCATTACATGAACGAAAAACAGGACGCAGGCAAACCTTCTGGACAATTTCTACACCAAGCACTGCAAACACAAGTAGAGACCGAACCATAGAGTCTGAAGCTCAAAGGCAACCGCATTTACACCAATTCGGCACTTCACTGTTTTGCACGCGGCCATACCTCACTAGTTGTGAAAAGGCCGCCGACGTTGCTACATTTGTCCTCGATGTTGCCGCTGCTGCGCACCTCCAGTCTATAAGTCCCCGCTGACAGTCCACTGAACTTGGCGGTCACCACAGTGGCACCTTCAATACCTATGGTATGATGAAAGTAGGTTAGTCGATGCTGTGATGTATTGTCTGAAAGTCAAGTTTAGGACGTACTTATCCGTGGATGCGCTAATCGCTTTCGTCTTCCAGGACATGATGTTGATGTCATCGCCAGCCCATTTTCGCCACAATTAGTACCTCTTAAGATGAATGTGATGAGCAATCAACATTTCGATATTGCTGATTTTGCAGCTGAAAAAAGAACGCTAAGGCTGTGATACAGCTAGTGAAAATGGCATCAACATTTTTCCTCGACAAGGGACTACCGAGGGTAGATGATGCGATCTAAATGCTGACGGAAACGCTTATAACACAATTTCAAGGAACGGACGTAAATGTTGTCGACCATTTGGACTAGAATATAAATGATCCTAAACGCAGAATAGATCTCAGTTGGGAAGTGTGTAGATCGTCAAGATTGCACGATTTGTGGTATATTTTTTACAGGAGGTTATCTGAAGAGTAGAAATTTTTTTTTTACCCGAGGGGATAGTAGTGTAATAATACCTAAAACTGAGATTCTCGGATTATAAATACCGTTGAAAAATTTTACCAAGTCCACTATATTCCTAACCATTAGGATGTTTGGCCTGGGCAAAATAAACTTCGCCCTTGACATCCCCCTTAAAGATGGCGGCAGCAGTGCCGGCTGTTTGTGCGAGGATTTCTGCCACAGCTTCGCGGTTGCCGGCCTCTGGGAACTGAATACCCGATGCCAGAGCAGCTGCTACTGCCGCCGTGCTGTTGCCGCTCGTCAAGCCCTTAGCCACCTGTTGGCGAGGGCTAAATTATAATAAATGAAATCGAAATTAATAACCGTGCAGTTGTATTTAAATAATTCTTGCCTAGCTGTTGATTACCGAAATCTTCGGCAACGAGGCTTGTTCAGGAATTTCCTGGATCATCGGAATTAAGTGGTAAAAAGCGCATTTGCCGATCAAAATATGTATTTTCAATAATAAACACGCTAAACATTTTTTAGCGATGCTTACTGTCAGTTCATCTTGATGATAGCGATGCCAATCACAACACATCTAAATAACTTCCAAAATTGACTTCTTCAGCACACTGTAATAACGGCAATGCCGACATTCAACACACCTTAAAAACTGCAATGCGGACTTTCAACAAATCTTAATGACGGCGATGCCGACTTTCAACAAACCTTCAAGACTGCGATATCGACTTTCAACAAACCTTCAAGACTGCGATGTCGACTTTCAACACACCTTGATGACGGCGAGGCCGATTTTAGCTAGGATGATGATGGGTACATCGATGCCGAAGATGTTGACGGTGCCGAACTTTTCCTCAGTAGAGACGACGGTCCCGTCAGGCACCACAATGGGCAGGTTGCTGTCCCTCACCACATCCTCGAACTCCGACGCCAACGCCTCCACAGACGCCGCGCTCCCGACCACCGATGTCTGCAACGTCGGATGCCGTGTGGCTTGAAGTTTTAGTTTGTTCGAAATACCAGAATTTTCACGTTTTATCTGCAACGTTGGATGTTGTGTTGTTTCAAGATTTAGTTTATTTGAAGTACAAGTATTTTCACGTTATGTCTGTAAAGTCGGATGCCGTGTGGCTTTAAGTTTTTGGGTTTATTTGAAGTATCAGAATTTTCACGTTATGTCTGCAACGGCGGATGCCGGGTGGCTCAAGTTTTAGTTTATTTGAAGTATAAGAATTTTCACGTTATGTCTGCAATGTCGGATGCCGTGTGGCTTTTAGTTTTAGTTTATTTTAAGTACCAGAATTTTCACGTTATGTCTGCAACGTCGGATGCCGTGTGGCTCAAGTTTTTGGGTTTATTTGAAGTATCAGAATTTTCACGTTATGTCTGCAATGTCGGATGCCGTGTGGCTTTAGTTTTAGTTTATTTGAAGTACCAGAATTTTCACGCAATGTGGGCATGTCGGATGCCATGTGGTCTGAGCATGAGCTTATTTTAAATAATTAAATTTTGACGTGATATGGGCATGAAGTTAATGTGAAATACTTGAATTTTAATGTATATGTGGGAATAAAGGTTGCCTTGGGGAATGAGTTAGGGTATTTATATAGAATACGTACATTTAAATAAAAAGTAGGCATATTTACGAAAGGCATACAGAAGGTATGTTCAGCATATATATTACATGAAAACCAAGACAGGAACTAGAAAATATTGATGGGATACTCTAATGTTGCATAGCAATGCAGTTACGTTGATTAGTTATGCGCAACAATTTGGAGGAAGGCTTTTCAAACATTTTCTTTTACTGCAATCAGCAATTCAATTAATATCTGCATTATATTCGTTGCGGGTAGTAGCTACAGGGTTTTTGTCTATCTATGTGGAAGCTACAAGATTTTTCAAGTTAAAACACAATTTTTTTAAATTTCAGTGTCTATTGGAATAATTTTAATATTTTTAAAATTAGTATTCTTGTATTGTCTCCTTTGCATGTTCGCAAGCAAATTTTTATTGAGTTTATACCTACCAGTAGATGCAGTTTCATAGGCTGTATTACAATTTTAGAATAGAATAGAAGTGTCGGCACTGAAGAAATAGGCCCATGGCCTGTTGCCGATTCTTGAATTTTTCGTGACTTGATATTCTAATATAGTCTTGATAGTCTATTTCTTAAATATATTAACAGGTTATCATTAAGATAACACTAACGTTTTGCGTATTGTCATCTCCAGCCAAAATGTCCTCCTTCCCTTTGACGACTTCCTGGGGGTCTTTGGGGTCCTGAACTTCCTGAGGGGCGCCATACACGCAGCACGCCAGCAGCAGGCTAAACACCAACCTGGAAAAAGACGAGTCTTGAGTTATAGCCAAATCCAAAGTATAGCATTGGATTTGATAATTAATTAAAATTGAATTATCTCTAATTGAATAATTTAACAAGAATATTTTGGATATAAAATTGACTGTGAAGAACTCGTGACATAAATTAAAAGTCACACATGACATGCGCAAATATAAAGTATAGCATTGGATTTGATTATTATAACTGAATTATCTCTAATTGAATAATTTACTGAGTATATTTTGGATCTAAAATTGGCTGTGGAGAATTCATGACATAAATTAAAAGTCACATATGACATCCGCAAGTCTAAAGTGTAGAATTGAATTTGATAATTAATTAAAATTGAATTATCTCTAATTTAATAATTTACTGAGAATATTTTGGATCTAAAATTGACTGTGAAAAACTCGTAACATAAATTAAAAGTTACACATGACATCCGGTTTCAATAACCGGTTCTTCCAACTAAACTGTCAGTTCGGAACTTTGAAATCAATACACATATGTGTTTCGACCTATAATCATTTGTAGACGGACATATCCGTGTACCCGTATTCGTTATACAAAGCTTGGTAACACGAGTTATATCGGATCACAGAAGTTACACAAGAAGCACATTAATCATCCGAAACTACCAATGCAACTACAGACAGTGCAATGTTTTCTCTCCTTTGGGTAGCATCAAAAATATCGTAGCATGTGCGTCTAACAATACATTTTATTGGGTATTTATTGATTTTCTACGACCGTCTGTAAGTTTCAAGCCGATTAACAATTTTGATACACAAGGTAATTTGAGATCTACCTACAACTGGTAAAGTACTACTAGTACATTTTTGATTCGATGAATATATGTATATATACGAAGTTAATTGGCTTTTTTATTTATACGCTGTAAGGTTAGTATATTAAACCAAATTGGGAGATAAAACCATTTTTACGATAGTCTATTTCTAATTAGTTTGCACTAACGCTAGGATATTAATTTCATATTTCTAATCAGTACTCTTTTTCACTAATTATACATTCTGCTCTATTTGATTTTCGCAAAACATACTACCTGTTTCTAGACACGTTCCTCTATATTATGTTCATTCCACTCACTTCATAATGCCGCACAGGATTCGAGTAGGTGACGATGAACTGTAATGTGTTACAAGCGTGTAACGAGGAGATGTGATGTAATAGAAATGTGTGACGAGGATATGACGTGATACAAACGTGTGACAAGAGGTTTGTGATGAGCTTATTTTAAATAAATAAATTTTGACGAGGAGCGTGTGACGAGAAGACCACGGTCGAGAAGCAAGTGACCAGCCGTTCTCATGACTCGGCTCTTAAAGTCAAGAAAGTTAAGCGGATGAGGACCGGTTGATTGGCCCGTAGCGGCCTAACGGTGCGTCGGACCGGTGGCACCCGCCTTACCTAAAACAGGAATTCTGAATCGTCTAGAGAGGCGGTGCCACTTTTTCATTTCCCTCTATTAATTAGCACATCATGGCTACCAGCCGGCCGGAGTGCTGCGACCCAATACTCTTATGTCTACTTACGCACTGACAAGTACATGCTCTGCTTTACTCAAGCACCGTTTCGTCTATGTACTCATTTAGCACCGTTGTCAAGTATTATAAATTCACCACAGTAAATTTAAAAACATTTGATGCGATACATTTAAAAACATAATTAAATTTCAATATTCTGTATCACAATTTCTATCTGAATTTGAATTCATCTTGAATAGAATTTACTTTGACGGATTGTTATTTATAATCCATTCAGTATTCTGTAAAAATAACATTTCGTATAGTAGATTATTGTCATTTTTTAATGTATTGATATGGAAGAATTATTGCATGTAGTATCGTGCATTAGTATTAAATGATGTTAGAAGAAATTACTTCGAATTGCTTCACGAGCTTGGTTGTTATATAAGGAATCTAGAGCGTATACAAAGAATCCAGCGCGTATATAATAATAGAATATTAGAATATGAATAGAATATTATATATAATAATTATTAGAATGATAATGCACGGATATTGAGTGCGGTTGAATAATTCCAATCGTAAAAAATAGAAAATGACTAGGTGCAGACTTACGTGATAAAGTTGACTTCATATTCAGTAACATTTCGCATGTTTATGGTAAAAAGTCTAAGCGCATTTCTTTATTAAATTTTTTTCATCACCAAAGAGGCTATTAGATCGACGTCTGGTTTCCATAAATTGACTCATGCACGGTACGCACGAAAATAAAGGATTGTGTACCAACAATTACCAACAGTTACATTATTAACTTGCAAAGAAATTCGAAATTCCTAAGTGCAATATAATGCAAAGCGGCCACCAAGTTTGCTTTAAAATGATGGAGGTTAAAATAACCAACAACTCCACTCACACTTTTCGTTTTTCAATGAAACGATAGACTTTATGATTTAATCTACACCGCATGGCGAGTGACCAATCGCATTCCTTGTTATTGTACTAATTATCAAACTAAAGGTACGGTTTATGATGACCTTAATTCTAAATTTTAAATTCAAAATGCCATTGAGTTTATATGTAGTAAAAATTTAATACTCATTATAACATTGATTTAATTACTGAATTATTTTCTTCGCTTTTAAATTTCTAGTGAAACTGCGATTCAAGCAATCTAGTGACATTATTACTTGTGTTAAATTTATACTGAATTATTTTGACACATTTGACAGGAAAGAATATAGATTGTGAATGAAATAGGGGGGGGGGGAATGTGTGAAAAATGTACACAAAATACACAAAAAATGTACGCAAAAAATGCATGAAAAATGTGCTCTCTATAGATCGCGCTTACAAATGCATTGACATTTTACGGAAAATTAATGTAGATCATATTTATAATTATCACACAATAGAAAAATAATATAAAGTAGAAAGTTATAGTGGCTTCCAGTTTTACTTTATGGAAGTCGACTAAAAATCGATGAGGAATGAAGAAGAATTTAAGAAACTGAAGACTTCTCAGAAATTTTACGCAACCGCTGAACTTGAATGAGGGCGAATTTTTTTCAACTAGGTAATAACCTCATAAATTACTCAAATCGTAGCCTCACTTTACGATGAACTTCTAAGGGAAAATAGCAAAAAGTGGATACCATTTGGCCCCTGGTAAGAACAACAGTAATTTGTTCGTTTGAAAGTTGCTGATTCATATTTATTCGTTTGATTTATTTTAGATTTCTTTTGAAAGTCGCTGATTAATTATTAATTTTTTTATTTACATCAAATTTCTGTTGAAAGTCGCTTATTTATATTTTATTCGTTTGATTTACTTTAGATTTCTTTTGAAAGTTGTTGATTTATATTTTATTTGTTTGATTTAATTCAGATTATTTTGAAGGTTGCTGATTTATATTTTATTCGTTTGATTTAAATTAGATTTCTTTTGAAATTCGCTGTTTTATATTTTATTTGTTTTATTCATTTTAGATTTATCTTGAAAGTCGCTGTTTTTAATTTTATTTGTTTGAGTTATTTTAGATTTCTTTTGAAAGTCGCTGTTTTATATTTTATTACTTTAATTTGTTTTACATTTCTTCTCAAAGTCGCTGTTTTATATTTCGTTTGATTTAAATTAGATTTCTTTCGAAAGTCGCTGTTTTTTATTTTATTCGTTTGATTTAAATTCTATGTCTTCTGAAATTTGCTGATATATATCTTATTCGTTTGATTTAAATTAGATTTCTTTCGAAAGTCGCTGTTTTTTATTTTATTCGTTTGATTTATTTTAGATTTATTTTGAAAGTCGCTGATTAATATTCCATTACTTTGAGTTATTTTAGATTTCTTATGAAAGCTGCTGATTTGTTCATGTTTTTCAGCTATTCCATGCGCTACCATGAGGACCAAGTTCTTTGTTCTATGCAATAAATGCCAACCATGTCTCGTCCACTCGGAGAAATGTGTATACAAAAACCTGTTTCACAAGAACCGTTTCACAAGAACCTAGTTCACCGGGTTCTTTTAGCCCTATCAGTAGATCATGCAAGGGGCGTGATCATTTAAATCAAGCTTCAGTAAAAGAAGTTCATATTTGAAATGATGGACGTAGCTCAATTGACCAAGCTAAAAGAAACCGTTTTCTCTCTCTGGAAACTTGTCAGAATTTCTGAAGCGATCACTTACATGTCATGGAATAATTTGGGTGTACGATGCAAATGGTAAAGTTCATTTCTGAAAGCGGGATATCTATTATGCATATATATGAAAGCAATGCATTGATATGAGAATGTAGGTTTTTGCATGTAAAGATAAAAAACTCTCAACGAAGCCTCTTTTCAAATGTGAATGGTTCGTATGAATAGTAAGTTGCACTATTTGTAGGCTGATCGCACTATTTGTCGGCAGATCGCACCATTTGTCGGCAGATCCCACCATTTGTAGGCAGATCGCACAATTTGTAGGTAGATCCCACCATTTGAAGCCAGATCGCACCATTTGAAACCAGATCGCACCGTTTGTAGGTAGATCGCACCATTTGAAGCCAGATCGCACCATTTGAAGCCAGATCGCACCGTTTGTAGGTAGATCGCACCAGTTGTAGGCAGATCGCATCATTTGTAGGTAGATCGCACCATTTGTAGGTAGATCGCACCATTTGAAGCCAGATCGCATCATTTAATTGTAGGTAGATCGCAACGTTTGTAGGTAGATCGCACCATTTGAAGCCAGATCGCATCATTTGTAGGTAGATCGCACCGTTTGTAGGTAGATCGCACCATTTGTAGGTAGATCGCACCATTTGTAGGCAGATCGCACCGTTTGTAGGCAGATCGCACCATTTGAAGCCAGATCGCATCATTTGTAGGTAGATCGCACCATTTGTTTTGTAGGTAGATCGCACCATTTGTAGGCAGATCGCACCATTTGAAGCCAGATCGCATCATTTGTAGGTAGATCGCACCATTTGTAGGTAGATCGCACCATTTGTAGGTAGATCGCACCAGTTGTAGGCAGATCGCACCATTTGTAGGCAGATCGCACCATTTGAAGCCAGATTGCACCATTTGAAGCCAGATCTCACCATTTTTGAGCTGCGTGTTGAAGGCCCAGCAAGCTGCGAAAATTCTGCGATGTCTAGAATCGGGGACAGACAATGTTTGGCCCAATTATCGCTGCCGCTGCTATATGAAAATATAGGCCAAGGCAATAAACTGTGGGACGAAAATTTTACGGTATGGCAAAAACTCGATTCGACTGCACCTGTTAAAAAATATCATGAAACAAAAATTAGACACGTGCCTACGATAAGAAGGTTCTTACAATGGCGCTTACATGCTCTAACCTGCAAGCAACAAAAAACGCAGCTGATACCCATAGGGCGCTGATGTAGTATTTCCCCTCGATGTAAAGTATCATGTGATATTCTGTTCTAACCTGCAATAAAGAAGCAAAAAACAAAGCTGATACCTACAGGGCGATGATGTACTATTTCCCCTCGAATTAGAGTATCATGTGATATTCTGTGAAACGTGTATTGATATTCTGGGTAGAATCATTAATGGTAGTACTATAACATCCAATTTTGTAACTGCTGAAGTGACAATGGGTGGTGCCTGTATTCCTTTATTTATTTAAGTGTTGGATAGAATATTTTCAGGGGTAAATCATGGAAGTTTTACCGAATAACTCAATTATGATACATTTCCGAAACGGATGAATTGACACCTATGAAAATTGTAAACGCATAGTTGAGAATATAAAATAAAATCATCAAGATAGTTGAAATTCAGTGTTGAATCACGACAGTTAAAGCTCTGAAATGAATCACGACAGATAAAAACCTATGAAATTCGTACAATCACTGCGCTCATGGTATTTAATGAGTGACATGTGGTGTTCACTGCAACAACTGATCTGCATGATATCTATGCAATTCATACAGCAACTGCACTGTCGATCGGGAGATGATTGAAGTAGAAATTCAAGTAGAAATTAGTAGTAGCGAGTAGAAATTTGCTGTAGAATCATGGAAGCTATAGGCAGTTCTGCAACTGCTCAACTGATTTGTATTAAATATTTTTAGCCGTTGCGCAGTCAGAAAGTGATTAAATTTCTAGAGTTATGTGATATTGGGTGCGTAATTATCGATATTAATAGCGGGAAACCCCGCTGAGGATAACAGCAAAACATGGGCACTGGGGGATAAGGCTGAGGATAACAGTTGCTGAGGTGCCAGTGTGTGTTATCCTCAGCAGTTGCTGAGGATAACAGCACAACACGGGCAGTGTGGGCACCTCGCTGAGGATAACAGTACAACACGGGCAGTGTGGGCACCCAGCTGAGGATAACAGTACAAAAAGGAACAATTTCTTCGCAAAACCGGGACCCAGAAGCCGGTTTACTGTCCGGCTTTTGGCATCGCATGCGAAGCAGTCACCAGCCAGCAACTGCGGCGAGATGAGGTTTTTCAAACTGTGAGTTGCAGATATAAGAATAATTGCTTTATTATTTGATCATTGCCAGTATCAATGACTAATTTCTGTTTTTAAAATTAAACTTATAGATGAACAAGAGTGTAAAGTTCAATATCTATCTCCGAACTTGATTTAATAAACGAGCAAAGATTGCAGCAAAATCTGCATGATGCGGCAGAAGTTAATATACCTGATATTCATATCTTCTATGAATTCTCAATGAGAGCATTTGCAAGATGAATATAGCTTCAAGAACTTTTTTCTATTTTTTGTCACAAGATTTTAAGTCAACTTAGTTGAGATATTTACTCATTCTTTTATTGTAATCAAGATGGAAGCTTTTATCTTCTCAATGAGAGCATTTGCAAGATGAATATATGAAATCTAGTATTTTAATCAAGATGGGAAATTTTTCTCTGCAAAATATTGTTGTATGTGTCAGGATATTGTTGGTGCTGGCGCTAGCGCTGATGGGCACTGGAGGAGACAGCGCTCTGGAAGAACATCATGACGAAGACGTGATAAATCAGGTGAGTTCTGAGGTCCTAAGGCCATACTTTCAAAACTCGCTAAGTGAACGTAAGTACTTACGCACTATTTTCTTGTCTACGATTGGTGGATTTTGCTTGAAATGCCGTCAATGATTGGCTGATGAACTTACGATCTCTTAACTTTTTTTGAAAGTATAGGTCCTGATGCTCTGCGGCCCTAAAGCCTAAATGTCCCGATGACTCATGATCCAGGGCCTGCACTTTCAAAAAAAGTTAAGAGATCGTAAATTCGTCAGCTAATCATTGACGGCCATATTCAAGCAAAATTCGCCAATCATAGACAAGAAAATAGAGCGTAAGTATTTACGTTCACTTAGCCAGTTTTGAAAGTATGGCCCCATGGTGCCTTTAACCTCTCATGTCCCAGTGGTTGTGGTAATTTGATATACTGATGTCTTCAGGTCTTGATGCATAGAGAAATTGTAGTCGTGTGAGGGAGTTCTGTGATATTTTAAACATTTCCAGTTGTTCCAGTTCCCACGAGATCAATTAAGGCATTTTTAATTACTTTGACAGGGTTGCTATCCGCTGTCAATAATCTTGATCTCATATAATGCATATGAACCTTTTTTATGTATTCCGATTCATTCGAATCAGAATTGAATTATCACTGAATTAGTAATGGCTATGGTTAAATATTGCTTATCGAAATGAAATGACCGCGTACGTTGACGAGTTTTTGTTGCAGTTAGTTGCTCAGAGCACCCAAAAACGACGTAAAATTAAATAAAGTTGATCAAATTAGAAGGCGAAATGATTGAAGATACTTTCTTTATCAGTATAAAAGATATAGTTTACGAATACGTGTCCATGATTTTCTGTGCAGTGATAACTAAATCTTTTATTGAGGCTATAATGACACCGCTGCCATAGCGATATCTTTCAGAGCAAAGCGCCGGCTGTCACTGAATGTCTCAATCCATTGTGCGAATGTTAGTTTTCGTCACCCAGTATCCATCATCGCCTTCTTAACAAACATAATTTTATATCGTTAATTCCTACAGTACCTTTTCTATGGAAATATGTTTCGATAACACAGTTTTATTCCAATTTTCAAATTTGTAAATTTGTATTTACCAGTTTCGTTCACCCTGTTCCAATTTCACCTTTCTCCCTACCCTACATGGGAATTAGCTATTTTTTATCGCCTAGATTTAATTCCTACCCCTACACCATCCCAGAACACCATTACCTGATCAAAATTTAGAGCCGTCCCAGCTTCTGATTACCAGAATTAGAAGCTGCCACACCTCAGAATTTTGCATTGGTATTGTTGTCATCCAGTTCCCATTTCCTCCGTCTTTAAAGACGGAAACATGGAACTGTTTCTTGTCTCACAACAATACCCATTGGTATTGTTGTCATTGGTATTGTTGGTATTGTTGTCATCCAGTTCCCATTTCCTCCGTCTTTAAAATCCAGGAGCTGACTGAGCTGCTGGGGGTGACGAAGGAGCGGCTGCTGGAGGAGCTGCAGGATCTGCGAGACGAGTGGACGCTGCCCTTCTGGATCCCGGAGGAGGACCACATCGTCCCGGACGCCGCGACGTACGGCAACGTTGACGTGAGGAGTGATGACGTCCTAGACGCCGCGACGTACGGCAACGTCGATGTGGGGGGCGTTGAGGTGCCCGTTGTTGTCCTGGCCAAGATTGGCCTTAAGATCATCAAGGTGGGCGCTGGTGCCCATGCCTCTACATTCTAGGCGTGGGAAAAGATCTAGATTCTACTTAATTAAACGGCGAAACTCTAGGGTGAATCTCATTTAATGATATCTTCCTCTGAATCTTGCTGAAAGAATAACGAATCTTATGAAAATTTTGATCCGGAATAATTTCAGAGCTTCCAGAACTTTTGTCCATATTTTGTCACAAAATTTTAAGTCAACTTAACTGAGGTAATCACTTTTTCTTGATAGTAAAGTACACCAAGAAAAATATCACGCGCGAGAACGAAAATTACGACTTAAATTCCGTGTAAGATTTTGCAGTATTCGGAGTATTTTTCTTTTGTTATATAATTTCAGGCCGTGAAATTAGCGAGCGGTGGTTTAGTGGCGGCCACTGCAGCGGCGACGGCAGCGGCAGCAGCGGCAGAATTGGGCGCTGACGGGATGGTGGTGGACACTACACGCAACACGAACATCGTGGACACGACACGCAATACGAACATCGTGGACACGACACGCAACACGAACGTCGTGAACACGACACGCAACACTAACATCGTGGACACGACACGCAACACGAACGTCGTGGACACGACACGCAAGACGAACGTCGCAGACACGACACGCAACACCAACGTCGTGGACACTACACGCAACACGAACATCGTGGACACGACACGTAACACTAATGTCGTTGACACCACACACAACACTAACGTCGTTGACACCACAAGCAACTCCAACGTCGTGGGTATCACACGCAACACGAACGTCGTGCACACGACGCACGACGATTCGACCATCATTGCCACGACGTCGGCCACGGCGGTGGCCATGTTCACCGATGGGCCAACTGGGGAAATTTTCTTTGCCCAGGCCTACTTGCCCGAAGGTGGGTGGATTCTAGCTAGCTTATTTCATGAGAATATGTCGGTCTTTTTTAATACTCAAACACTGTTCAAAAAATCACCGTAAAACGGTCTCGACGGCATTTCAGTGACCGGGCACCACGCGAAAAAAATACCATGTCAAAGTTTTTTTGAGGTAACACTACATTTGGAAAAACGGCGACACAGCTTATTTTACGGGGCAGCCGGTCACTAAACCGTTATTTCGAACTGTGGATTCATTTTAATTGAGGAAGAACTTGAGTCCCTCAATTCCCTAACCTCCCTCAGGCACGAGAAGCGCTACGGTGGTCACAGGGGAGTTACGTGGGCTACCCACGGGTCCTTCCTACAGCCTCGAGGTCTGGCGCCCCACCCGCGACTTCTGCGGGAGTAATGTCACGGGGCAAGCGGTGAGTTGTTCAAGAGAAACGCATGAGTAACATAAACAACTCATGGTGATTTATAGGGTTACCGGCTGGTAATGCTGGAATGTTCGTGACCCTGAGCCTGTTTATTGGCAGTGTGGTTTTTCAGGATCAATTCGCGAATATGAGTCAACGTTATGATGATGCCATTGATAAACCAGACGAATTTCTCATGTAATGGAAACTTTTCATCTGCTGTTCAAGTTGAGTAATGTGTAATATGTGTTAAATTAACGCGAATGCACGTTCACAGTGTTTGGTGCTTGTGCATTTATATTAGTGATAATCTTTGCGCTATTTCTTTGGACTTATCGTTTCACACTGTGTGAAACGATATGTGTTATGATTCACACTGTGTGACACATCCTGGCTATATCATGATCCATCATAGAATAAAATAAAATAGAATAGAAGTGTCGGCACTGAAGAAATAGGCCCATGGCCTGTTGCCGATTCTCGTACTTTTCGTGACTTGATTCACAACGGATCCGGCCTTTGGAACCCGATCTTTCCATAGCTGACGATTGATTGAGATAGCTGCTGGACTTATTGCCTGGTCCGTAATTTGCTAGGCATCTCGAAGTAATTATAATACGGTGAATCATTCGCTGGAAGTGCTTAAGGAGCTTAAATGCTCCTTTTTTCCGCATTATGTAGACAAATCATTAATGATGAAGTTACTCTTCCCTTTCAAGGACCCCGTCGTGACGGTGCTTGGTGTGCTACGCCCTGACGCGCGGGGGCAAACCTCATTCTTGCTCAGCAGTGGCCACCTGCGCGTGGCGTGGGGAGGAGTGGTGGTGTTGCGGCCGCTCTCTTCAGACGACAACCGAAAACCCATCGCTTGTGCCAAAATCGTCATCGGTTGATGCCATGAGCAGCAGCTGTAATTGCCTACTCTAACATTGTCAGCTGCTGATGCAGTGAGCATCGTTTATGGCACCAACGTCATGATGCATAAGGATAACTCCTGACTATACTTGTGATAAATGCGTAAAAAATAAATTTATTCCTAACAATAATTTTAATGATGGAATTGGAAATAAATTTAAACGAAAAAGTTATTTATTGTGATAACACCAGTACCGTATATAGTATTAAAATACAAGTTTTTTATTTTGTCACAATCCTTCCTTAACATTTACGAGGGTCGAGCGAATCACATTTATTCGGATTTCAAGGAAAACATAAATTTTCCTCTGAGGGCCAATTTACTTACACTTCCATTGGTAAATATTTGCTATTTTCTGGACCAGGGTATCTTTTGGTTAGGTAAAAATGAGCTGCGCAAAGAAATAAACCCAACTCTGCGCTTAAAAAACGAGTCGTATTGTACGTCAAGTCGTATAGTCGTCAATACAAAAGAAGTCGTATAGTATTGTATTGTAGTCGCACGAAGGTAGCACTGATAAGCCATGTTGCCGGGCGAAACTGGGTCAGAATGAACCACAAATGAGCAACAAGTTCATCGCTATTTGGACAAAGCCTCACTTCTTTCTGTGAATGATGCAGACTGGCACTGGTTTTATTATTAATCTCAAATAAAGTTTCAATGGAAAGTCAAAAGACGGTGTGTCGAAAAAAAAACTCGCTGCTATCGTTTCATCACACACATTTTTAGCGCATTTTCTCATTTATGGAAAAAATCACTATTGTGCTTGCCATGTCCGTCTGTCTGTCTGTCCGTCCGTGACCTCAAATTTTCGTCGACGAGAAAATGCGCTCTCTGTCGCTCACTGCAGTGAGTACTGAGTTATATTTTTTAAGGTTATTGCAGTGAGTACGAGTTATATTTTTTTGCGCGTCGTTCACTTCGACGCGCGCCCCCCGAAGTGCGCTACAGGATTATTGAAGGGCATATCCTTGCACTTGGGAGTCTGTAGGAACTCCTTGATGCCCTTTAGCCCCTCGACCCTCCTCATGAGGTCCTGCAGGAGCGGGAAGTCCTGCAGACATCCCGGGGCGAGGGCCTGGTGCTGGTACAGCAGCTCGTATGCGATCAGGTCTGGGTACGTCAACTGCAAGTACACGTACCAAATGACGATGTTAATATTGATTATTTCGTCGTAATTATCCTATGAATGATATCGAATAATTATAGTGATATAATATAATATAACATAATGCAGTAGAATATAATATAACATTATATACTGTAATATAATATAACATAATATAACATATCTTATCATGATATATTATACATATATTGATGACAGCATAAATTATGTCATATTGGCCTATCATTGATTCTTAACCACCCGGCCACCTTGCCGATATCTACTAGATTTTTCACAACTAGTAATGGGTTTCGAACCCCACCCGCTTCTCCAAACTTGGTGATCATAACAGCTCGGCGTCTCTGGGTGGCTAAATAGCGACTAACGTTGATTTTACTTCATGTATGAAATTTTTTACAGTGTAGCTTAAATGTTACGCTAGGTTGAAAACAAATTTATTAAACATAACTCATTATTTCTGGGATTTTTAATATCCGGCATATTTTTTGACTATGTCATTCAATGTATTTTGTAAGCTAGGAATTTTGTGATTGCCTGGTACCACAAGTACGTGGGGCTATTGATGCGCGTATCTAGGATACTGATCTTGTCGGGATATGGTCTGGACCTATATATGGCAAACACGTAATCTCTGGCAACACGTAATATCTGGCAACACGTGATCTTTGGCAACACGTGGTCTTTGGCAACACGTAATCTCTGGCAACACTCACGTTGTCGCCGGCCAACCATTTCCGTGAGCCCAAAAAGTCGGAAAGAGACTTCCACTTCGCCGGAAGCCCAGCGAGGTATGCCGCCTTGTCGCTCTCCTGTTCAAATCCACCACAAACATCACACGCATTGAAAAAAATTGGAAAAATAAGACAATAAGAGGAGTAAGATTCAAAGTTGACAACAATTTTGATCCATTTTTCTTTATTATAACTAACCAATTTACAACTAAAATTAACTAACCGGGAGCAAGTAATCAAAAAAAATACTGCGTTATTCTGACGCATCTTTTATTTGGGACATTAGTTCGAACTGATTGATCTGTAACAGCACATTGACACTCAACAGCCCAGTACATGTAGTTGGTTATGAACACTTATAGCATTATCGGTGGAATGATAACAGAGGCCGGTTTATAGGATGAACCATATTGAAGAACCACTCACAAAGTCAGTTGATAAAACAAATGACTATATATGGGATGAACCATACTGAAGAACCACTCACAAAGTCAGTTGACATATAACAAATGACTATATATGGGATGAACCATACTAGACTCTGAGGTAAATGCGGCAGCTGTGAGGTAAATACGGCGACTCTGAGGAAAGTGCGGCAACTGTGAGGTAAATACGGCAGCAGTGAGATAAATACGGCAGCTGTGAGGTGAATACGGGAGTTGTGAGGTAAATACGGCGACTCTGAGGAAAATGCGGCAGCTGTGAGGTAAATACGGCGACTCTGAGGAAAGTGCGGCAACTGTGAGGTAAATACGGCAGCAGTGAGATAAATACGGGAGCTGTGAGGTAAATACGGCAGCTGTGAGGTAAATACGGCAGCTGTGAGGTAAATGCAGTAGCTGTGAGGTGAATACGGCAGCTGTGAGGTAAATACAGTAGTTGTGAGGTGAATACGGGAGCTGTGAGGTAAATACGGCAGCTGTGAGGTAAATCAGGCAACTATGAGGTAAATACGGCAGTTGTGAGGTAAATACGGTAGCTGTGAGGTGAATACGGCAGTTGTGAGGTAAATACAGTAGCTGTGAGGTAAATACGGTAGTTGTGAGGTATATACGTACGGGAGCTGTGAGGTAAATACGGGAGCTGTGAGGTAAATACGGCAGCTGTGAGGTAAATACGGGAGCTGTGAGATTAATACGGCAGCTGAGAGGTAAATACGGCAGCTGTGAGGTGAATACGGCAGCTGTGAGGTAAATACGGCAGCTGTGAGGTAAATACGGCAGCTGTGAAGTGAATACGGCAGCTGTGAGGTAAATACGGCAGCTGTGAGGTAAATACGGCAGCTGTGAGATAAATACGGCAGCTGTGAGGTAAATACGGAGGCTGTGAGGTAAATACGGCAGCTGTTAGGTAAATACGACGGCTGTGCGGTAAAGCCGGCAGCTGTAAGGTAAATACGGCAGCGGTGAGGTAAATACAGCGGCTGTGAGGTAAATACGGCAGCTGTAAGGTAAATACGGCGGCTGTGAGGTAAATACGGTAGCTGAAAGGTAAATACGACAGCTGTGAGATAAATACGGTGGCTGTGAGGTAAATAAGGCAGCTGTGAGGTAAATACGGCGGCTGTGAGGTAAATACGGCAGCTGTGAGGTAAATACGGCGGCTGTGAGGTAAATACGGCACCTGTGAGGTAAATACGGCGGCTGTTAGGTAATCACGGAGAATGCTAGACTCATAAATCCATTTAAAAGGAATAACACGCGCAAGTGAGGACTAGCCGAGGAGCTGTACATAACTCCTCAGGGACCGAGTATCGCGCTCGTATAGGGAGAGGACGGCTAGAATATCAGATAAGTTATTTGAAAATCACGGACATTTGCGCGGGATGATTGGACTATTAACTGGATTAGCTGTTACCACTTGGCAGGGCGGCCAAGCGATGTAACAGTTCAGAGTACCAGGATTGTGGCAGCGAGCTGTGGGTTATATCCCCACTGCCTGTGACAGTGCTGGTGAAATCGGCGGATGACCGGGCGATTAAGCACAATAAAACTGGAGCAGTGAGTTGCGTGAGCAGTGAGTTGCAACAAGTTGTGTATGTCCTGCGATGTTCATACATAACTTCATAGTCGGCGCTACTATACTGCCATACTTGCTGGAATAGCTCCGACATTTGTGGACTCTAAACTCTTAACTCAATTATAGGTACCTAGATTATTAGGCAGAATAACTCCACTTGTGTCGAGTGTCGCACTCACGTTAGGGAAGTCAAGTCCTAAGGAATCCTTCTCGTTCAGCCAGCAGGACTTGTCGTAAGAAGGGGCGGGGCCGCAGACGTAGAGCTTCTCCTCGTAGCGCGTGCCCGTGTATTCCAGCAGCATGCGGATGGGCTGGACGATCTGCAGAACAGCAAACATTATTACTTAAATTGAAACTCTATAATAAAGCTGCATGCATTAATTATATAGAAAAACGTAGGACGGAAATTCTGGATAATAATATTGAATAATGCATGGATATTTTGACGACACTCTTCGAGAGTTGAGTGATGAAGGAAGCGGACTGAACGCTCAAACGTCGCAACAACCCGTGACATTGAGACTGATAAATTACACTTGCATCACTCTACACCTAAACATCACTCTAAACTCCAAAGTTATTATATAAACTTAGGAAAAGGCTGGCTGTCCCGAACTTATAAAGCTGGCCACATTCGACGTTAATCAACGTTATTGTGCTCAATGTTGAGAACAGTGCCCAGAGCCGGCCAGACTGGCTCCAACTTCGCACAAAGGATTCAATATAATCAAAACACGCTGCTGTTTAGCACAGTTCTCTAGATGTTTGTCCTTTTGATGGTGCTTGTTCTCAATAAATCACATTTCACTTAAACAATTCACTATTATCTTACGCCTCTAACGTCCCAGTAGCCGAGAATTGGAGCCATGATGTGACCGAGATCGTACACGATTACCTTCGCCTGCCGCTGCGTAGCACCAACTGAGAAGACGTTGACCGTAAACCGTTGACGGTTGAGCTTGTTGCGGGGGCCTTGCAACGCGTCGGGTGGCGGACTGACAGCTTATCTTTATCAGCGCAGACAAGATCTCTCTCTTTTACCGCAACTGATAAGACATGACAATAAATAAACACTGATGATGAAAATATATTCCAGCGAGGACGATGAATAAGAGGGTTATCAACAGCTTTGACATTTGACAATAGCCCTAATGCAGAAGCATACAAAAGCAACGATTAGCAGCTATAGTGCTATACCAAGTGCGTACGCAAGCATTGTGTTTAATCGGTACGAATTTTAAACTCTACCGTCACGCCTCTAGCCTACAGAGCAAGCAAATGCCTCATGGATCAGCTTCCGAACCCCTATGAATACAAACAATAGGAGAGCAGGCAAAATGTTGAGCCAAGGTAATATTTTTTTAATTGAAATAAATCCTCGTTGTATTCGCAAGCGACACGAAAATAGCTATCAAAAAATTTTTACGCGTTAATACTTGGGACCTAAATTTTTCTAATGCCCGAAATAACCTACAAAAATATTCAAATAATATTGAAATGAAAACTAAGCGGCCTCAAGCGCAGTAAAAACCTTACCTGAGGCTGTACGTCTCTTCATACCACGTCCCGGTGCGAAATTTAGGCAAGCTTCAAGTTTTTAATAATAAAAAAACATCGCTTGCAAGGGATGCAGCTCCATGTCACGTCAGAAGCTCGATCTGTTTTTCTAAAAGAGAATTAAAACGTTGCCTCAGTCGCCGCTAACAGGATGCATGAACGCGATCAGTGACTAGTCCGAGAAGCTCCTGTACTGAATTGCTTTCTGTCTATTTTACCTCACATGAAACATGTCATCCTATGAAACATGTTGAATGAAAATTTTCACTGTAACGGGACCTCTCTAAATTTCAATTCACGAAGCATATAATAAATTATCGCTGACTGATCACCTCAAGTTTATTTTGCCTTTCAATGATCAGCAAGAATCAACTGTTAGGGATTCAGTCAATCTGGGCAAAATCACTACCCAAATAGTCAATATTCGCTAGTTCAAAATTTACATATTGTAACACTAATACGAAAAAGAATTTAGGCTATCATTTGGTACATTTTTCGATCTCCGTTACTGCGGTTGCAACGCCTATTCGAATATTACGAACATAAACTCCAATATTACCGACAGGCTGGCAGCCAAGAATAAAAAATCAGTCGAGGAGATGCAATCTAAGCTTCTACCTCCGTGGAAAAATGTCCCTATCTTCTGCATGGATCCGTCCGTCTCCAGAAAAAAAATTAATAACTTCCTTGTAATGTAGCAATATGCAAATTTCCCACCACTGGAGGTTCGTTAGTCAGAATCAACTAGCCGGACTCGAGAGTCAGATACGCTAGTGAGCGGCTAGTCTATGGGGCGCTTTAATTAGAGCCACTTTTCAAGGAAAAACGTTTCCCAGAAGAATAAATATTAAATACGTCTCTTTACTATCTTGGATGAGACCCTTAGTCCCTTACTAGCCCCATGCAGGTACTACAGAGGCCAGAGATTGGGACACATTACTGAAGGGTATAACTCTCCTAGACGGAGTTTGCTTTGTGCTGGGCCTCATGAACACTCGGTGCTTACCTCAGAAGAAGAGCTCTGTGCAAATTGTGGAGGACTCCATCAAGCAAATTCGTTAGAGTGCCATGATATCTCGTCAAAGCTATGGCTTTAGAAAAACTACGTGCTTCTGCATGGACGGTCAAATGCGCAAGCTGTCAGGGAAGTAGACTCGTGCCACACAACCGCTTGTTGGCAAACTACAAATAAGTCTGTATAGAGTACTTCCTATTCAAATGCATTAAGATTATGATGGCTCCTCCTAGCAGAACGATTACTATAGATGTTCACACCAGCCATTGATGTTATCTCGACGCAGGAGCCTACGTTATCATGCCTCTGCCGATATCCAGCCCAGATTTAAATGAAAGTTTTGACTCTGACAATGAAATTGGCGCTCTTTCGTCAATTTTAATAAGTCTGAAGCAGCAATAGAATTTTAATTAATTTTAAGTATCGTGAACAAATGCAATCTTATTGCAGCTTGATATTTTCCCTTTGCATTTGGATTAATAAATTATAAAAAATTCCCATTTTGTTCAGCGTGGGGACTGCTTTTTATGGAAATTCCGTCAGCAATTTACTCCAATATCATGCAAAATCTTGAAAAATCCATACGAGGCAAATTTATCTTTTAATTCTCCATAATTTATCGTAATGGCTTCAGAAGTTCAAATTTCATGTTCCTATGTTTGCAGGTGAAAGGGTTAATGTAAAAGTAAAAGTCATTTCATATAATCAAGTTTGATGAAACCATTAAAAATATGAAAAATGTAGAAATGTAACGATGGAAGAAATTAAAGTTAATAGAGGGTAGTTCATTTACACCCTTTTGTCATTCAAGGAAGCAGGGGAGAAAAAATGAATGACAAAATGAACAAAAAAAATGAATGACATGTGGTGAGAAAAAAGCATGATGAAATTTATTATAAAAATGGAAAACGTAATAACAGATGTCCAAAGAAAGGTAATGTTCAATTCTGGAAATATTAATCAGCTGCAGCTTGATGTTAATAATATTCGCTATGCTATTCGCCATCTCTCCACCGAAATAAACCAGTTTTTAATTCAAGTGAATATATTAGAACAAACATTGTAGAGGATTTTTAGAAATAAAACTTTAATAAATGCTCTTTAAGTAGAAAGACGATAAAAAGAATAAACAGAAGAACTATTTTGTATTTCCTTCTCCAAGTTTGAGGTATCTCATAATTGGAAGATCGAACTGTGGAAAAACATCATTGCTGCTGAAATTGCTTGTGGAGAATTTTATTGATTTCAACAATCTATTTCTATATAGAAAGTGCTCGAATTTAAGCTGTTGAAAAATGTTTTCGATTAATGACATAACTAATAAATCTGAAGTCATTTATTCATTTATCATCAGAAATTGCAATTTTAATGTTATCTTGAAAACTTACTTAAAAGACGTCACAGAAACTTGCAATCAAATACTGACAATAATGCTTCTGTACCTGATCCCAGTGACTGATCATAGGAAAAAAATTTGTTCATTTTACATGATATTGCTTCGGAAGATGATCAAAATCTGCTAATAGTTTTTACACCCGTGGAAGGGAGCGCAGCCGTGGACTAAATATTTAACTATTAAACAAGCCCTGGCGCAACGCCTCTCCTCATAATGCAATAACTCAACTCGGCCACAAAGCCAAGAAGCCCTACGTAACTGACCATCTAACTACACCAACTTCAATTCGGCACCGCCCCCACCCCACAACTTGCTTCTTCAAACGATGCCTAACCTACTATTTAAAACGATGTCTAACAGAGACTATTTAAAACAATGCCTAACATACTTTTCAAACTTTAAAACAATGCCCAACAGACTATTTAAGTACATGTAAGTTTATGATGGATTACATAAATTTATTACGGTCCGATTTAGTAGCACTTGAAGTAAGGGATATGAATAGTTGTTTAATCGAATTTACATTTCAAATAATTCGTCTAGCAGACCAAAGCCAGCGTTTTATACATTTATAGATTAGATGTATTGCAAGCTTTCATCTGTGCCTTGAATCACACGCAGAATTGTGGCTTGTTCATGCACAATAGTCTACAAATCTAAAATAGCATGAAGTGAGAAATTGGTGATAAATATCCCCATTATTCCCAGCTTTATGATCACCATGACGAACAACTAATGGAAGTAAGCTCAAATAATTGTTTATAGGCGATTAATTTTTGAGACTTCGGAAACACTGCGAAGGAAAGCTCTCCTTTATTGAGGTTTTCTCGCTAAATGAATGCCACGTCACTCGCGCGGGCAACCAACTTACCAAGTCGCAGTTTAGACCAAGACGTGCAGGCGTGCATACCTACCACTTTCCTGTTTGTGCCGGTATATACGCTGGCAGGCCTGTGTGGTGCTACTGACCACTTCGCCTCCGGAGCCTTCTTTTGTTCCTAGTTACCCACCGACGCTGTCCCGCCGCTACGTTTCTCCCGGCGACCCCCTTTCGTTAAGTAGTTTACCCTGCTTAAGTTGAGAGGGTGGTTCCGCGTGCGGGTTCGATTCGCGTGCCTCTCTAGCCAACCTGATAGCTGGGCTATGAAGATAGTTGCATATGAATTTAGCTGACCTTCTTCCTAGACCGCGCTGGACTGAAACTTGTCTGGGCGATAGTTTTGTTCGTCTTGGTAAAGAATTTCTCGTGTTCTATCCTTGATCTTGGAAATGGTTATGGAAATAACCATTTGTATTCGTAATATATTTACCAATTGAAGTCATTCCATCTGCGGCCTGCCCGAGCTCGCTTCATAGCAGGGGCCCCTGGCATGTTGGCAGCCTGCGCCGGTGGGCAGTGGTAGAGCGGTGCGTTTTCAAGCGTGCGCTGCGGACGCAAGCAGCTTGTATGAAACATTCTCGTGTCGTCATCCAGTAGGCGCTTGTACCAGCCCGCGATCAGAAAATTGATGCCGGCTTCTTGGTACATTTGAAGAATGTTTTGGATTACATCCGATATGTCATCCATGTCAACAGCACCATTCTGGAATAAAATTGAATGTAGACTTTATATTAACATTTTTAAATTTTTCATTTCATATAGTTGAATTTATATTATTTATATATTTTCGTAGACAATATTTCAGTGATTTACGCGATTGCTACAGCTATATAAAACACTAACAGCCAGGGTCGCTTCTGTCATGAAGAGGCGACAGAGCTCTGCACTTCTGAAGGGGACTTGGGTGATGTGCTGGCCAGGCACAGTCACTTCAACAAGTAGTGCCTTGCGGCTAGTCGAGGCTGAAGGCGTCGTAGTCGCCGGGCAAAGAGCGTTCATGTCATGGGAGGAATCACATAAAGAAGAAGGACAGCTAGTCATATATTTGGCTTTAGATAATTCTAGTGAGGGGGTCGAGATAAGAA